GGGATTCGGGCTCGAATTTGAGACTGGGTGTGACGTCATGCGCGTTCACACTCACCTGGCTATGACTGACTGGCAGGTTAGGTTTATGTATTCGCCGCCATTCTCCGTATCAGAGAAGACAACTCGAGCGACACAACTTTAGTCAACTTTCCACAAAAGTAGAGGATGGATTTAAAGGGGCTGTTGGCCTCTCTTATTGCTGTCTTTGCTGATTTTGAAATTAGCCGATGATCAATAAAGTGCAGCTCATATCTGTTGCTTTCGGTGACGTGCACTTCATTAAATCTGTATTGAGAATGAGGAGTCACGTGCCGATTTGGGCAGGGTCTGAGCTGGTCGGCCATGATGGTAGGAGACGCTATCGGTTACCAGCGGCAACCCCTTTAGAACCTATAGACGCGACTAAACTTTCCAGAGCTCTTAAATTTTCGCGCATTTATTATTTTGGCAGGACAGAGACAGATCTAAGTAAGAATACGAGAAAAAAGGAAGAGAGTAAAGCAATGCAAAAAGATAAGGCGAAAGAAAAGGGACCTTACAGGAACAATCTCACACAAAGTGCAAAACAGCTGTATTTGGAGAAGCAGCATCGATATATTTGTTCTTTTGCACTAATAACAGTATTATTATTTTATTATTATTACTTATGTCGTCCATGAAACTTATGTTGTCCAAATATATATGTAGCCTATATATTTCAGTTCTCAATAAATATTGTTAAGCCATATCAAGTTGTTTCCAACATTTATTTCAATGAAATAAAAAAGTAATGAACAAGGCACTCAAACAACACTTTTGCATATGTTCGTTAAGGCACACCAACCTTCGTTAAGGCAAAATCGTATATTAAAGGCTAAAGCAATCCAAGCAATACCAAGCAAAAAAAAAAAAAAAAAAAAAGCAAATAAAGCAAACCAAGCAATCCGGTGTCTCCTCGTCAGGTCAGAGACTCTCCCTGATGCTCTGTCCATTTCGGGAACCTAAAAAACTGTATTCCATTGTTCCTATGTTTTCCATATACATCGTGTGAGGTACTGGAGTAGTTTTTAACGCAGCAGTGACTTCCAGGCATGGTAAAACAGTGCGGAATTGCGAGAACCTCCTCTACTAGCGAGCTAAAAACACACGTAAACAATACTGTTTTGCCGTGGGAAACCAACCAACATGGCGGAGAGGGGAGGGGCTCTGTACAATGACGTCAACTCCTCATTCTCAATATAGCGCGGAAATTGAAGATTGGATTAATATCTGTTTTGCAAAAACACATTTATGTGACCAGGTGTAAATGAAATCATTTTGATAAATCAGATAGCTATCCGGTCTTAGAAAACGCATGAAGTGGCCAGGTGTAAACAGCCCCAAAGAGACCAGCTTGTAGTTCATTCCAAACCCCATCGCAAACTCCACGTAAGACAATGAAAATACAACTTCTGTCTGTCCAGTGCCAGTCGTCGGAATAAGAGGAGAGTCAACATCGGGAAGCTTTCAACACATGGAGAGATCTGCGGTCTGCTCTAGGGCTCAAACGGGTCCTATACAAAGTAATAACTTATATTGTTCATGAACGTGTTTCCATATAATCATAAGTGGATACAGTAAGCACATAAAACAGTTCAACATGGAGATAGATGGAAATAAAAAAAGTTTTCTACTACCCGTTTTCCCCTCACACACACATAAGTGTGTAATTTACTCAAATGCCTTTCCTTTCATATATTTTAAATGACTTGCAGATTTATAACTGTATTAACACATTATGACTGTAACAAAAGATGTGTGCCGCACAGTGTGCGGCTGATGCTCCTTTGGTTATGAAGTATGAACAGCTCGTGCAAACGTGCGTGTGTGTGTTTTGCTTGTCGCCAGAGGGGGCGTAGTTCTGCAAAAACTCAGATACTTGCATTTTGCACCTTTAATAGAATAGTGCAATTCCTGGGATCATAAGGATTCTGTTCTGTCTGCTCTCTACTTATTGTATTTTTTGTTTTTGTTTCTGTGTTAATTTTGTGCTCATGGCTCTGTCTTTGGCTGTGTCTGAGAGCTGAAAAATTTAAGTATGGAGGTAGAAAAGTAAAAAGGCCAAATCAAATGAATGTGTCACATTCTGTCTACTGAGATACATACCTTCATATGATCGATTTTTGAGGACAGTTTTGGTATATCCTTCGCTCCGCTGCCTATGATATCCCACTATATCCCACTGCAAGCAGCCATATCACCCTGTAGCCCAAGACTGGTTGCCCACTGAAGCTAAGCAGGGCTGAGCCTGGTTAGTACCTGGATGGGAGACCTTCTCAGAAAGCCAGGTTGCTGCTGGAAGAGGTGTTAGTGAGGCCAGTGGGGGGTGCTCACCCTGTGGACTGTGTGGGTTCTAATGCCCCAGTATAGTAATGGGGATACGATACTGTCAAAGAGCACCGTCCTTCGGATGAGACGTTAAACCGAGGTCCTGACTCTCTGTGGTCATTAAAAATCCCAGGATGTCTTTCGAAAGAGTAGGGGTGTAACCCCGGCATCCTGGCCAAATTTGCCCAGTGGCCTCTGTCCATCATGGCCTCCTAATCATCCCCATCTATACCAATTGGCTTCATCACTGTCTCCTCTCCATCAGTAAGCTGGTGTGTGGTGAGCGTTCTGGCGCACTATGGCTGCCGTCGCATAATCCAGGTGGATACTGCACACTGGTGGTGGTTAAGAAGATTCCCCTCTCTATGTAAAGCGCTTTGAGTGCAGAGAAAAGCGCTATATAAATGTAATGAATTACAGTGGTGGAATGTAACGAAGTACAAATAATTCGTTACTTTACTTAAAGGGTTAGTTCACCCAAAAATGAAAATTCTGTCAGTATTTACTCACCCTCATGTTGTTTCAACCCCGTAAGACCTTCGTTCATCTTCGGAACACAAATTAAGATATTTAAGATATTAAGATCGCTCCTGCATACAGTCTATAGGCTTCTTGAGGTACTGGCTCTTGCTGTCCTCGAAAAGTCATTAAAGACATCGTTAAAATAGTCCAAGTGACTACAGGGGCTCAATCTTAAGTTTATCAAACGACGAGAACACTTTTGTGCGCAAAAAAACAACAAAAATAACGACTTTATTTCAACTATCACTTCCTTCTCCATGAGCCTGTAAGTCAGTTAACGTAGTGTGATTGCGTAGAGCTACGTCACACGTAGGCTCACTATTGGCTGACGCTGGTCATGTGTGTGTGATGCGTGTGACGTACAATAACAGAAGCTTACGCTATTAAACTAGTAACCTGACTCGCGCAGAGGGAGAAATAAACGAATAGTTGAAATAAAGTCGTTATTTTTGTTGTTTTTTTGCGCACAAAAGTGTTCTCGTCGTTTGATAAACTTAAGATTGAGCCCCTGTAGTCACTTGGACTATTTTAACGATGTCTTTAATGACTTTTCGAGGACAGCAAGAGCCAGTCCCTCAAGAAGCCTAAGACTGTATGCAGGAGCGATCTTAATATCTTAAATATCTTAATTTGTGTTCCGAAGATGAACAAAGGTCTTACGGGGTTGGAACAACATGAGGGTGAGTAAATACTAAATGAATTTTCATTTTTGGGTGAACTAACCCTTTAAGTACATTTTTCACGTATCTTTACTTTACTTAAGTAGAATAAATAGTGCATACTTTTTACTTTTACTTCGTTACATTTTGCAGCAATTATTATACTTTCTACTCCACTACATTTCTACAACTTCTGTTACTTTTTCATAAAATTTTCTGATCAGTTTTTCCCCTGCCAAAACGTAATCTGACCATCCGTTTGTTGCACGTTTGTCACACCAGTGACATTTGGTTGCCATAGATATATCAACCCGGTCACACTAAATGCGTCTCGCACGCAGTGTGTTTATCGTGCCATTTATACGCGAAAATTAGTTTTTATGTGCATAGGAAACGCACCGTGTGTAATATACGTTTGGTTAGGATTATGGCAAGCCAAGAGGTTCAGAATTACACCATAAATTAATCGCGTTTACTACCAAACATAGTTATTAACATATAGTAAGGATATGGCTTATATTGCCTAATTGCAAGCTTGTTTCAGAAATGGTTACAACAATTTTTTTTTTCCATAATTATTGAACATCATTATAGGAGTATTAGGTGGAACGAGTTAGAATTAAATGTTTTATTAATCATTAGAAAAAAAATAAACATTAAGAAAATAAATTGTTAAGCAAGTACTTTTACTTTTAATACTTAAAGTACATTTAAAATCAGGTACTTTTTACTTTTTACTTAAGTATGGTTGTCATTGTGTTAATTCTACTTTTACTAAAGTAAATATTTATCTGGTTATTTGTACCTTTACTTAAGTACTGAGATTCAGTACTTTCTCCACCACTGATGAATTATTATTATTATCATTATTACTATCCTGTGCCTTCGATTCTATGAAAAGATTACATCTGTTTGTTTGTAAAGTTTGACCAACTTTTCCACTTTAATGTCTAGCAAAAAAAAAAAAAAAAAAAAAAGTAGGCTACTCCCTATATTTTTTTTGTAGATGTTTAAGCCATTATGCTTCTTCAGAAGTCTATCCAAAATCAGTTTCATGCACAAACACTACCTGCAGTCATTGCGTGAGTGAGGCAAAAAGCCAGCTGCCTAACCTTTCGAATGTAGACTTTTTTGTGTCTGGCATGTGCTCCCCTTGTCCCGCTCCCACGTTTCCTTTTTCCATGCACCCTCACTTAACCCTTGTCTAGTTCACAGTCTGTTAATTGACAGCACCTGTTTCTTATGGTTTCCCCCCTATATTTATTGTGTTTTGTGCAATATGATAAAATGTGCAATATGTCAAAGTGGATTGTGCCCTTTGCTCTTGTTGTTGCTTCTAGTCCTCTTTTGTGTTTTGCCCCAGTTCTATACACAGAAGGGCCTGCCTACTTGTTTCAGATTTGTTTGACATTACTGTACATTAAATATAGATTCAGATTTGTTAACTCTGCACTTGGGTCGACATCAAACACATCAAAGGAGATAAATGTTTTTATTAGTCCATAATGCAGTATATAGAAAGTCCTCTTAGACAATCAGTTGTCAGAAAGAAACAAATATTTTGCTATTGATTGTACAATGTATAGATGCTGACTGCAACTGGTTTTAAAACTTCTACATCATATAATTCAGTAATGTTTTAGTTTTTATAACATTTGGATACTTTTCTCTCAAAAAAATAAATATATTGGAATTTTTGCACACATTTTAATAAGTACATCTCTATAGTGCTTAGATTTAAAAGCATTTGTAAACTGGCGCTGAAGTTAATGTCTCTTGATAAAGTTTATCGAAGACACTCAAAACAACATGGAATATTCTTGAATAATCTGTAGTACTCCTCTTGAATCTGATGATAAAAGAGAAAACATATGCATTTAAAGGTGTAAAATGGTAAACATTAACAATGAAAAAAAAAAAATGTAGATCTCTGGTTACATAGGTAACCCAGTTCCCTGATAAGGGAGATGAGACACTGCATTATGATGTTGACGATATGGGAACACCCTGTGCTGTTTAGACAGAGCTGCTGTCTAAAGCATGTGTGGAAACACAGCAATTTCATTGACCAAAGGTGAGGTCAGATGACAGTGTAATCACATCATCAAGACTATAAATAGGCACTTGAAATAAAATTCCTCAAATTCTAATTATCTGAAGGAAGATGCTGAGGCATGCAATAAATATGGCAAAGTGATGCAGTGTCGCATTCCTTTCATGGAACGTCTCAAAACCAGAGATGTTCACTTTCGAGGGAATTCAACGCTGATGTTGACGCTATGGGAATGTTTATACCCACATTGCCATACTGAAAAATGCTTGACCAGCAAGGTTGCGAAGTACTCTAAACAAACACCATGTGGTCCACTAAGAGGATTAACCCAAAATGACTTGAATGCCATGAATCCAAACAGTAAAACCATATGAATGTGTGCTGAAAGCACCAGCCTACCACAGCATAAACATCTTGTAAAGTCGCAGCCATGAAAAGTCGCAGCCATTTGTCATGAAACTGCACATGGAACATGGACAGAGGTGATCCAAACGCAGGCTTTATTTAGAGGAGAATCCAGAGACAGGTACAGGGAAACATGCAGGGGTCAAAACCAGGTAAGCAATCCAGATCAGAAAACATACCATGCAGTAGTGATGTGACGTTCGGCACCAAGGCTTCGAAGCTTCGATCAAAAAAACGAAGCATCTCACGTGAAGCACTGTACCGGAGCTTGATTCGTTTTGCCATAACCATGTGATCAGTGACGTCCGAAGCTTCGTTTCAACACACAACCACGTGACTGCTTCATATTCTGATTTAAAAAATAGCGCAATTGCGCAGGTTTCGAGTGTCATGCGCTTGAGATTCACAGTTCACAAGCACTTTCACTACCCAGCACTTCACTATTCCACAAAAGTTTTATTTTATTTTGATTATATATGCCTCTATGAGCCTTGCCTATGAACTCATAAGGTGTAGGACTACTGCTAAAGTTTTAAGGCTGCATTGTTGAACAGAGTTAATTTGTCCTATGTATTATTTCATAAATTAATTCATAGACTCATTTGTTCATACATTGTGTAAAAATCAACTCTAACACTGATGATTTTTATAATTGCTTTGTGGTTTTCATAGCACAAAGTGATTTATTACATAAAACAATACAAAAAAAAAATTGGCAAAGATTCAAAACGCAAAACGCTGCTGCAGCGTTTCTAAACTTCTCCGTTTTAGGTCTTCGTTTTTCCCGTTTTAGTGTGGACGGGAGGTGCAAACGTAGCAAAAGGTCTTCGTTTTTAAACGAAAACGCAGTAGTGTGGATGGGGCTTCAGAAAGCTTCATTTCACCATCACTACCATGCAGGGATTAGGCAAACGGAAAGACCAGTTACAGGCAGGGAGTCCAGGAACTGTGAAACTAGAAAATACTCGAAAAAACTAAGAAAACAGGAAACCGCTCAAAGCAGTCAGACACTTACAATACTGAGCCCTGAACAAAGGGAAAACTCAGGCTTAAATCAGGGAGCTCAATCTAAAACAGGTGCAAAAAATAAACCATAATCAGTCCAGGGTAAAACATGAATGAAACAATAAACTAGGAAGGAGTGCCCCCCAGAGGCTCAAGCGGGCACTCCAGCCGCAGATCGTCACTCTTAGATAATGCTTTAGAAGAGACCAGACTCCGAGTGGGTCTTGATGCCAAGAGGTAAAGCCATTCAATGCACAACATACTGTAGGCAAAATAAATTGCATTACAACCTCGGTTGAGAGACTGGAATCTAAAAGTTGACACCCTTGGGGCCAAACCACAGATTCCAAATCTTGGGTCAGGGGTGGAGAATCCTGAGCCTAAGACTAAAGGTCCCTCCTGTTCGGAACTCCAGTGGAGAGCCTTCCAAAGAGATTTTGTGTCCAAACACTAGACTTGGGGTGGCCCGAAACAGAGCCACTAACAACAGGCAAACTCCGTTCTGGCGAACCCTTGCCTTGAAGTCCCGGGAGAAGAGTGATCAGGGGAAAATGCATATAGACGCAGCCTTGGCCATGTCTGCACCATGGCATCCAGCCATAATGGAACTGGAGGTTTGATGGCAAACCAGAGGGGGACAGTGGGTTGACTCTGCTGAGCTAAACAGGTCCACTTCCGCTCTGTTATACCTCTGCCGAATTAACGTCTCCATTCCCAGGGCCTCAACACCTGCATGTCCCAAACGCAGCCCGTCCTTGTGATTACATAGGAGACTGCTGATGTGTTATCCATCTGGACTAACACATGGTAACCCCTCAGTATTTCCATGCTCCAAAATCAGCCCTCATCTCCAGACCATTCATGTGCCATTTAAGATGATGGCCTTCCCAGAGACTGTGAGCTGGATGGCCACCCAAGACTGTACTCCAGCCTGTTAGAGAGGCATCGGTAACACTTTACAGTAAGGTTAATTTATTAAACATTAGTTAATGTATTTACTAACATGAACTAACCATGAGCAATACATTTGTTACTCTTTTTGTTAATCTTTGTTAACGTTAGTTAACACAAATCCAGCTGTTCATTGTTTGTTCATGTTAGTTCAGTGCATCAACTAATGTTAACCAAATTTTAATAAAGTATTAGTAAATGTTGAAATTAACATTAACAAAGATTAACAAATGTTGTAGAAGTATTGTTCAGTCTTAGTTAATGTTAACTAATGTAGTTACTAATGAACCTTATTGTAAAGTGTTACCGAGGCATCCGATTGGCAATAGCCTTGCGACCGCAACATTCCGTAAGCCATCACTTCCAAAGAGAAAGGGTTAAAAAGCATTAGCATATAACCCTCATGACTTAAACATAACCCTGGTTTCCTAAAGCAAAGAAGCTGATGTTCTTTATTTCAGGTGCCTATTTATGGTCTTTATGACATGCTTACACTATGTCAGCTAACCTCAACCTCAACTGGTCAATAAACACTTTCCACACCTGCTTTGTGCACTTGCTCATTCAGGGGCATTTCCATAACATCAACGTCATGACGCAGTGCTGAGTTCCATCTAAACGGAATTGTAGAAGAGTGTGCACCTTACCCTTCTGGATAGAACGCAAAGGAAAATGAAAATGAACATCCCTTGGAACACATTGGCAAAGGTAAAGAGATACGCTGTCAGGGTGGTCTCATATAAGATGTGCATGACACCAAATGTCCAGGTAACTCCCAGAACAAAAAAAAGAGCAATAGCTCCTCTTGCACAAGACCTGTGGGATAATTATTGAATAGCAAAAGTAAAATAATTATTGAATAGCAAAAGTAAAAATAATGTTTGTAATATTTTTTCAGGTTGCTGTTTGATTATTAACTATTTAGTATTTAGTAGGGGTGTAACGGTACACGTATTCGTATTGAACCGTTTCGGTTCGAAGCTTCCGGTTCGGTACGCATACAAACCGAACGATTGCTTGGACCATTTTTCCTGCCGGCAAAATTCGTGCTGACGCGGCCAACACAACGTTGCGCAACATCAAATGGCAAGCGTAATGAATGCAGAACGAAACTGCGCTATAAATGTGCTTCACGGATCGTTTATCAGTTCGGACCAGCAACATCTGTGCAGCGCGAGCCGATCTCGACCAAGCGACACTGTTACCACAGCGCTAAGAGATCCGGTAAAGAAAACATTTGAATTCGCCACTGAGGTAATAACATCGCTGCGAGATCTAGTGAGATGCTTTCACATTTCTCCGTTATTAACCGCAGATCTCTATTAGATCAAACAGCGCTGTCATGGAAACCAGGAGAAACATTGTGCCGTGAATGAACTTTACGTCCACAGACCAGCAACATTCACCATGGATTTAATATAGTAACACTAACTGGAACCAGTTTGGCTGGAATGGTGAAATGCTTTCAAGTACTTCACACATCTTTTTCCAGCACTTCAAAATTCAAATATTATATAAATAAATATATATTTAAATGTTATTTTTAATGTGATGACCAAAACATTATTTGTTCACCCTTCAAAGATGACCCCCATTTATAAACCTGAAAGTTTCAAGATCTAGGAAAACTCACACTTATTTAAAAATATTTTTTCTTTAAACAAATAGGAAATTTCTCTGGCATTTCTTTCTTTTTGCTGTATCGAAAACGTACCGAACCGTGACTTTAAAACCGAGGTACGTACCGAACCGTGATTTTTGTGTACCGTTACACCCCTAGTATTTAGCTACCCTGACATGAATAAAATAAAATTTAAAGGGATAATTCACCTCTGGAAGGATGAATGCATATTTAAAATGGGTCATTTATGTAGAATAAATGTGAAATTATTTGAATTTGGAGCTTTCTAGACTCAGAAAACCCAGAAAATGTATTTTTGGCTTATGTGGATTAAAAGACAACAACTCCCAGAATGCACTCGCTTCGCTGCCCTAGGAGGCCACGCCTACTGGTAACAGAGCGCAGTAGTTAAAAAACAAGTCTTGGCTACTAGCGAGTCTCCGTGATGAGTTTCGAGATCGCCCAAAACAAATGTATTTCGAGATCGGCTTTTACGTTCTACAGTCGCCATTCATTATGTTTACTGTGGCGAGTAGGACAAGGCTATTTGGGCCGTGAGAGAACAGCGCGAGGCCCATCCCACCCTCTATGGGCGGGTTGAGAACATGCGTAACAGCCTCTACTACTGACTGTAGTCTTTAGCCTCTGGCCAAAAAACCCTCCGATGACGCAAAATGACAATTTTTGCGTCATTGGAGGATTTTTCCCGAAAAAAAAAAATACATAAATCTCTTGTCTCAGGGGGATATGATGGTTGAAAGCATGGTAATTCGAAAATACTACAGGTTTTCCACTAACAAAGCTTAATGCTTAATCCTGAAGTATTCTAAATGATGTACAATTTCTTTACCTGATATTTTCATAGTGACTGATTTCAGGGATCTTTACTGCAGTGTGACGATAAACCTTAAAGATGATCACAGCAAATGCCAGCAGATTAACCTGGGAGGGAATAAATGGCTTCAATGTAATATTTATTCAACAAAAAAAGTACAGTATGAACTAATTCATTTAATTAATTAAACAGCATATCATGTTATCAATTAAATATGTGTTTTTTATTATTATTATTTATACATTTATTGACAGCTCTAATGAAATCACATTTTGGATATTAGTTTATTTTGATTTACAATTTATTTAGATTTATTAGAAATACTGCATAGTTTGAATGAAAAGGGTTGTGTTAAGCCTAGTTCACACTACATATGATTTTAAAATGTCGGGCTGAACTGTGCAGTTCACACTACATGACTTGCTCTCAGTGAAATCATGAGTGTTCAAGTTGTTTAGCTGTTCACACCACACAACACAGCGTGATTGATCCACAACAGGAGGTAACTCACTACACGAGTTGACAACGCACTACATAGAGATACAACCACGATCGGATGATAAGAGCAAATCATTTGTGACTCAATGAGAGCTGTTTCAGTACTATAGTACGGTCTAAATCCTGAAAATAATCAAACAAATAACGAGTTGACAACAACACGATTCTATCTGGTCTAGAAACCATGTTTTGTCACGAAAAACCACGCAATAAAACGAACCAGAAATGACGCGAAACTGCAGAGAAGAACACAACACGCGAATATGGACGTCAGACAGAAACTAGTGCTGCACACTGTTTGCTCGACGATCTGCTCTGAGAAAAAAAATTGCAAAAAAGAAAAGAAAAAGTAAGATTTACCTGGTGTCCTCAACCAATGCGTTGCTATGATTGGCTGTACTCATGACATCACTGAGATTGAGTCGCGCGACTGCTCGAGATATCTAGCATGCTAGATATTTTTCTGAGCTCGGTGACCTGTCTGCGAGCTGTCTTTGGTGCATTGTTGGCTCTTTCACACTAACGGATTGGCGAGCGTTAATCGTCCGCTAATTGCCCGCGATTTGCACGCGATAACATCCTGACTTGTCGGCGACTCATCGATTTGCAAATCGGGCTTAAATCGGGCTTAAAATCACGTAGTGTGAACTAGGCTTTAGCGTAACTGAGATTTGTTGCTGAGTGTACATGAGTCCAGAGTAGTGTTCATGGCTAACAGACAGTCTTGTTACTGGATGTTACACTGACACAAGAAGAAATGCTCACCAGAATAATCAGACAAGCTGGTCCAATGAAACTCCAGATGAAGTTATTTTCAGTGCTCAGCCAACACCTTAATAAAATTAATAACATAAAATAGTAATTACAATTTATTTACATTGTTTGATGTAAAAGTGGTGCAATCCACCTTATTTAGCAACATTAAATTTAAGCTATTTTTGTGAATGTATGAGAATTAAGATTTGTTAGCCGCTATACATTAAATAACTAGAAGAATAAAGTTCAATGAATGGTAACTATTTGAGCTACAAACCTGTGTTTATGATTATAGTACATAATTTAATATGAAAGCAAATACCACTTTTTAAATCAAGCAGCATAAAATACAATATTTGTACAGCTAAAATAACTGAAGATAACGGAAGCCTTGCACATTCAAAATAATATTGGTGGATCAAAATAAGGTGGATCACTCTTACGTTAAAAATAAGGGGGATTGCTCATTGTAACTAGTAGTCATACTTTCTTTTGCAAATACCACAAAATTTTAATTATTTACATTTACATTTATTCATTTAGCTGACGCTTTTATCCAAAGCGACTTACAATATATGTCAGAGGTCGCACGCCTCTGGAGCAACTAGGGGTTAAAGGGATACTCCTCCGTTTTTTTCATATTAAAGGGGTGATGAACTGAGAAATCAAATTTTCCTTGAGGTTTTGACATCAAAGAGGTCATCATATTATAAGAATATCCTGTAAGTTTCAGAACTGAAAATGTCCTTGTTAGTCCAATAAAAGGTTTTATTGACACCAGCCCCAGCAAACGACTCGTTTTTCAAAGTGGGGAACTATGACGTCAAAGAGGATAAAACCCCACCCCCGCAGAAGAAGATCAACGCCTGCTTCAACACGGCCGGTTTAGCCCCGCCCACCGATTCACGCATTACACACATAGCGAAATAACATAGGCCTACCTCGTGATGACAAACCGGATCGAGCTACCGAGCAATACAGAATATTGTGCAGTGCCTGGTTGTGGAAGACAGTCGCTGCATATGCCTCCTCTGTATTCCAATTTGTATGTTAGAAGAAGTGCAAATTTGTATTGCAAGTTTGTGTCTGTCGTTGTATCTTTGTGACTGGCATTTTACACATTTGTGACGAATTCTCTGCAGCTTCAGATTCAGAATACAGGTTTGTGACTATTGTCTGTGAGTGCAAATCTCAGCGTTCAAGTTCAGATTTTTATTTTACAGGTTTTCACATCGGAGCTGTGAGTGTAAATGTTCGCGTTCACGTACGAATATTTATTGTACGAGTTCTTAAATTCACATCTACCTTCTCTCGAGTATTGCTACTCTTTTACCTTCATAGAATACCACAGCAAGTGCTTGGGAGCACTTCGACTCAGTACGTGCAGTAATATCATCACTCGTGAAAAGTCCTCTCCCCCTCTCACTCTCCGGAGTGATGATATTACTGCGCCCAGTCCATAGATAGGCTATATATGCGCTGAGTCGAAGTGCTCCCAAGCAGTTGCTATGGTATTCCGCCATACAATATAGTTATCCATTTTACACGCTTAGAAAAGAGCAATGTTTGATTTTGTGTCAATTTTGATTTTGTGTGTAACTGTATTTGAATGGGGAAAACATGGAGGTGTTTGGTCGCTTCTCTGCTTGGCCTATATTGAATGAACTGGGCTAATTAAGTTAAGTGCGATCAAAGTGTCTCGCGCGCCAGAGCAATTGAGTGGACGCACTGAGACAAGAGGGGTATGTATCAACTCGTCTTAGTTAAGGGAATTGGCTTTATGCACAGCTTCACTACTTCCTGAATTTCAGCCAGCTCCTTGTTTCCTATCTGCCATTATTGGACACATTGATTAATTCAGGTGTGCTTGACCTCAGTAGTCACGGCAACAATAATCAGACACACCTGAATTAATCAATTTTGCCCAATAATGGCAGACAGGAAACAAGGAGCTGGCTGAAGTTCAGGAAGTAGTGCAGCCTGTGCATAAAGCCCATTTAATATGAAAAAGGCGGAGTATCCCTTTAAGTGTCTTGCTCAGGAACACATTGGTGTCTCACAGTGGATTCGAACCCGGGTTTATCACACCAAAGGCATGTGTCTTATCCATTGTGCCATCACCACCCCTATAATAACTTTATATTATATTTATTAAATTATAATAACTTACACAGTACTGGTGCCATAATATTTATAGCCAAGTGTTGCAGAAATTGCGACGACCACTGCGGGGCTCCCATAGCCAAATATGTAGAAGTTCCGGTGGAGGAAACCTTTGTTGTAGATGACACCAACAACAATGAGATACAAATGGATCCCCTCTATACACATCCAGGCAAATGCAGACAAGAAGAAATAGTGGAGCAGGCCAGCGATAATAGAACAGAACCACTGAAACACACAGTGAACAAGCATGAATCAACATTACATTGCACTACATTACTTAATAGAGTACTTTTGTTGCCATCTGACACATTAAAAAAGTCTAAGGAGAGAACCTTGTGTGCAATCTTGTTAATCCCGATGAGGAAGATGAACTGGGCCATGAAAAGGCTGCAGCACAGGTTCTTGTGGATCGTGGTTCTGGTGTTCTGAATGTCTCGGAAGAACCAGAATGTGAAGATACACAGGGACAGGCATATTATGGAGATCACCATTCCCAGATGCGTTATCCTCGTCAGAACATTATAATGCGCAAGCAACTACATAAAACACAGCAGGAAAAGGCATTTAGGATTGTTTACAACCAAATTGTGAATTCCGCTCTAACTGTACCATGTTCATAAATTGAGTCAATTGTTTTCACAATGTAATAATAGCATACATTGAAGAAAAGGTGACTGACGACATGTTACACTTTATTTTGAGGGTTACACTTTATTTCGATAGTCACTTTAGACGTTCTGCTAATTATAAGTAGTCGCCAAGTTACTTATAGTCAGTTGAATGTCTGTTGGGGGACCAACAAAATAAAGTGTTAGCAGATATTAAGCAGACAGTCTACTAATACTCTAATGAGAGTTAATTGACATGTAGTTGAAAAGTTCCCTTTCGTAGTCACTTCGAGTTACGTCAGAAGTGACGGAGATTGGGGGATTTCGCATAGAAAGCCAATCCTCTTCGAGTATTAAAACACGAGCCAATGGCATGCAATGCCTTGGGGCTGCGGAAATTTGCATAGCGTACTCCGCCCTACTCCGTGAGTATAAAAGGAGGAAGTGAACGCAACCGCAGTATGTTTTCGCTTCGGAGCCAAGAGAACCTCTTCACTCCTCAAAGCTGATTCAAGACTCTTCGAGACGAGCGTCCTCTTCAGTGTTGGTGTGACGGCGGTACCCAGCGAGATTCTGCATTGCCTGCGATCTGTGCAGTGGTTTGCCAGACTTTGCGCTTCTCCCTGGTAGCCTCAGCGCTGAAAGAGTGAATTTCTCTCCTCTCTGTAAAAGAGCTGCACGCGGCACGTCTTTTTAAAGATGGTTCGCCCCTGCCCTTCTGGATGTGGTAGATTTCTATCGTCATCTGATGGTCACGAACGCTGCTTTGTTTGCTTGGGCATTCAGCATGCAGCAGCAGCGTTCGTGGATGACTCATGTTCCTTCTGTGGGAGCATGACCATCTCCACACTGAGGTCGCGGCTCAATGATCTCACTAGAGTGAGAGCCCCGGTCCCCCCTACTCGATCGGCTTCCTTCACGAAAGGGGGCCCGTCGACCCGGGGACCGGGCGATCTAACGGTGACGGTGTGGGATAAAGCCCCGACGATTCCTCGGGCCACACCTCCCGCCTCAGTGCGTGAGCCAGCGGGCGCTAGTTCGACTCGGTCGGTTGTCTCTTCGGCGGCACCGGCTGCTTCGAGCAGCGCCCCAGATGATGATGCGATGTCTATCACAGCATCACTAGGCGGGCTTGATTCCTCGGGAGAGGAAGATCCGGCTGCGTTGCCTCCTTCGGGAGTTCCAGCGTTGTCCGCGTCAGATCCCGAGATGACGGCCATGCTGTCTCGAGCCGCTGGGAGTATCGGGCTAGAATGGAAACCTCCATCCTGCCCCGACCTCTCACGGATGAATAATTGGTTTTTGGACAAGGCTGCCGCTGCAAAGCCACGGCCGACTACAATACCTTTTTTCCCCGAGCTGCATGCGGAGTTATCGCGCTCTTGGGGGGCTCCTTTGTCCACTCGAGAGCGCGATCTCTCCCCCGCCTTTCCCCTCTCGACGGCGGGGCCGCCCGTGGGTACACTGGGATGCCCCCGGTGGAGCGCTCTGTTGCGATGCAGCTGTGTCCACAGAGCGCTTCCACCCGTGGTCCTCCTAAGCACCCATCCAAAGCCTGTGGGTTCTCGTCTGCTATGGCGGCGCGATCCTACAGAGCGGCGGGACAGGCGGCCTCCGCTCTGCATGCTATGACCACTTTGCAGGTCTTCCAAGCGAAGTTGCTCAGAGACATGCACGAGGGCGGAACTGATCCGACGGCATTTAAAGAACTGCGGTCCGCCACTGACCTTGCTCTCCGGGCAACGAAAGTGGCTGCTCGCGCCGTTGGTCAGGTGATGGCCACTAGCGTGGTTCAGGAGCGTCATCTGTGGCTCAACCTGGCGGATACGCGGAGCGCTGAGCGGACTCGTCTGCTCGACGCTCCGCTATCCCAGGTTGGTCTTTTCGGCGGTGCGGTCGAGGACTTCGCCCAACAGTTCTCCACTGCCCAGAAGCAGACGGAGGCCATTAAACACATCCTGCCCCGACGACCAGCTGCTGCCTCCACCCAGTCGTCGGCACAGGTGCCTCCCCCTGCTCGCCGCCGAGGACGCCCCCCTGCGGCTCCCCTCCCTCCCGCCCGGCCCCAGCAGCAGCCTTCACCCGGGCCCCGGCGTCGAGGAGGCCGCAGGCCGGCGTCACAGCCCCCTCAGGCCGCTCGCCCCGCTAAACGCCAGGCCAAGCGAAGATCCTGACACGGGCAGCTCAGTGTCGATCTCGAGTCTTTCCCAGGAGGCGGTAGCAGGCCCCCTCCTTCCCCCGGTGGAGGGCCGGGGGAGAATCTTTTGTTCTCAGCTCCCCGCTGCTCACCCACGGGTGGGCAGCACCCTGAACTGGTTAAAGAAAGACTTGACATCCTCACTGAGCTCACAGACTGGAGTGAGTGCCCCCGATGCCCCAGTGTGTCGGCCCACTCACTCCTCTCTGTCTCGGAGGGCGCGGAAGGGTGCGTGTGTCGTCCCCGGGCTACACCAATCCCTTCCCCCTCTCTCGCCAGACCCCCGGCAGAACGGACCCCCGTGGAACGCTCCGCTTTCCCTGGTCCCTTCTGTCGGGGAGCGGGCTTCGACGCATCCGAGCGGGGTAACTCCTGCACGCGTGCCAGTCGACCCGCCACGCTGCCCCTCCGGGGGGACGTCTGTGGTTCACATGACCCCGTTGGCTCACTTCCTGGAAGCCTGGCTAGCGCTTCCTGGGGTATCCCGCTGGGTCATCAGAACGATCAGATTCGGCTACGCGATTCAGTTCGCACGGTCTCCTCCCCGCTTCAGGGGAGTTCGCTCCACGATAGTTGGTGGCAATGCCCCAATCCTGAGAGCGGAGATTGCGACCCTGCTGGCGAAGGGTGCAATCGAGACGGTCCCTCCAGCCGAGGTGAGGTCCGGGTTTTACAGCCCCTACTTCATTGTCCCCAAGAAGACTGGTGGGTTACGACCGATCCTGGACCTGCGCATTTTGAACCGTTCTCTCCATCGACTACCGTTCAAAATGCTCACGGCCAAACGCATTTTCGAATGTGTTCGGTATCAGGATTGGTTTGCAGCGATCGACCTGAAGGACGCGTACTTCCATGTGTCCATCTTACCTCGACACAGACCGTTTCTTCGGTTTGCCTTCGAGGGCCAGGCATATCAGTACGCCGTTCTCCCATTCGGGTTAGCTCTGTCCCCTCGCGTCTTCACGAAGATCGTCGAGGCAGCCCTTGTTCCCCTTCGCGAACACGGGGTTCGCATCCTGAATTATCTCGACGACTGGCTGATACTAGCACACTCTCGAGCTCAGCTTTGCGAACACAGAGACTTGGCGCTCCGGCACCTAGCCCGTCTGGGCCTTCGGGTCAACCGAGAAAAGAGCAAACTTTGCCCCGTGCAGAGGATCTCTTTTCTCGGCATGGAGATAGACTCGGTCGCCATGTCCGCGCAGCTCACGAACGAGCGCGCGCACTCACTGCTGACTTGTCTTCGTCAGTTCGAGGGCAAGAGTGCGGTTCCACTGAAACTTTTTCAGAGGCTCCTGGGGCATATGGCATCCGCGGCCGCGGCAACGCCGCTCGGTTTGCTTCATATGAGACCGCTTCAGCTGTGGCTTCGCGATCGAGTCCCGAGGTGGGCATGGCATCGCGGCTCGCTCCGAGTCCCAGTGACTCCGGCATGCCGGCGAACCTTCTTCCCGTGGTCGAACCTCAGCTTTTTACGGACGGGCGTCCCTATTCAGCGAGTTTCCAGGCATCTCATCGTCTCCACGGATGCATCTACCACGGGTTGGGGTGCCATGTGCAATGGGCATGCAGCCGCCGGCTCCTGGACGGGGGCCCAGCGCCTCATGCACATCAATTGCCTCGAGCTGCTGGCAGTGCGGCTCGCCCTGCACCGCTTCAGAGCGTTGCTCAAGGGCCAGCATGTGCTTGTCCGCTCAGACAACACTACGGCTGTAGCGTACATCAACCACCAGGGGGGTCTACGCTCGCGCCAGTTGTCGCAGCTCGCCCGCCACCTCTTGATATGGAGTCAGAAGCACCTGAGGTCCCTTCGTGCAGTTCACATTCCTGGAGACCGGAACTGGGCAGCCGACGAGCTGTCTCGGGTCCGTCCTATCTCCGGCGAGTGGCGACTCCATCCCCAGTCGGTCCAGCTGATCTGGAAAGAGTTCGGGGAGGCACAGATAGATCTGTTCGCCTCCCGGGACTCAGCCCACTGCACCCAGTTTTATTCTCTGACCTGGGGCACTCTCGGTTCGGATGCGCTGGCGCACAGCTGGCCACGGGGCCCACGCAAGTATGCGTTTCCCCCAGTGAGCCTCCTTGCACGGGTGTTGTGCAAGATCAAGGAGGACGAGGAGCAGGTCTTGCTGGTAGCCCCCTATTGGCCCACCAAGACGTGGTTCTCCGATCTCATGCTCCTCGCGACAGCACCTCCTTGGCCTATTCCTCTGAGACAAGACCTACTCTCTCAGAGACGGGGCACTCTGTGGCACCCTCGTCCCGATCTTTGGAGGCTGCACGTGTGGCTCCTGGACGGGGCAGGTTTGAGTTCGCTGCCACCTGCGGTGGCGGCAACCATCACTTCCGCAAGAGCGTCGTCCATGAGACACCTTTATGCATTGAAGTGGAACCTCTTCGTCAATTGGTGCTCTTCTCGCGGAGAAGACCCCCGGAGATGTCCGATCAGTGTCGTGCTTTCTTTCCTGCAAGAAGGGTTGGAGCGCAGGCTGTCGCCCTCCACCCTTAAAGTCTATGTCGCGGCCATTGCCGCTTCTCATGAAGCAGTGGAAGGTAAGTCCTTAGGGAAGCACGACCTGGTCATCAGGTTCCTGAGGGGAGCGAGGAGGCTGCATCCGCCTCGTCCTCCCCTCGTACCCTCTTGGGACCTCTCAGTAGTTTTAAGTGCTCTGCAGAGGCATCCCTTTGAGCCTTTGCAATCAGTAGAGTTAAAGTTTCTGTCCATGAAGACAGCACTCCTGGTTGCATTGGCCTCTATCAAGAGGGTGGGGGACCTGCACGCATTCTCCGTTGACGAAGCGTGCCTGGAGTTCGGGCCGGCTTACTCTCACGTGATCCTGAGACCCCGGCCTGGATATGTGCCCAAGGTTCCCACCACTCCCTTCTGGGACCAGGTGGTGAACCTGCAAGCGCTGCCCCCGGAGAAGGCAGACCCAGCCTTGGCACTGCTCTGTCCGGTACGTGCTCTCCGCACCTATGTCGACAGGACGCAGTGTTTCAGGACCTCAGACCAGCTCTTTGTCTGTTATGGAGGGAGCCAGAAGGGAAGGGCTCTCTCAAAGCAACGGCTGTCCCACTGGATAGTGGATGCCATTGCTTTGTCTTACCAGCAGCAAGGCCTTCCGTGCCCCCTTGGTGTGACGGCCCATTCCACTCGGAGTGTAGCCTCCTCTTGGGCTTTAGCGCACGGCGCCTCGCTAACAGACATCTGCAGAGCTGCAGGCTGGGCGACACCCAACACCTTCGCCAGATTCTATAATCTGCGAATTGAGCCAGTGTCCTCTCTCGTACTCGTTCCGGCCGGTACTGGACCCGCTCAGGTGTCTTCGCTTGCTCGCCACTCCACTCCCCGGACTGGATAAGTGCGATATTTCCTCAGTTCTTCCATTGAAGTCTTGAGTCCTCCAGCACCGACGATGCGGGCACCACTGCTGTTGCTCTGGATGCTAGCTAGGTGCCTCCATGTGCACGGTTCCCCTTGGTAACCGTCTCATGTGTATTATCCACTGTAAGCCTCTCTGAGCATGTGTCTTCCCTTGGCAAGCCTCTGCCACCCCTGGAGTTTAAATTAATAGCCACCTGTGGTTGGTACTCCAGTGTTCCATATGCGTTCCTATGTGGCCATATGTGTTCATAAGTCCTCCCTTCGGTAGGCAACTGGTAGCATGTCCCCTTCGGGATATGTTTCCCAGTGTACCTTGGTAATCCTGTGTCAAAGTCGGATCCCAAAAAAAAAAAAAAAAAAAGAGATAAAGCTCGGGGGTTCAGTCTTTCGCAGGGCACTGGAAGACAGCTTGAAGATGGCGTGATGGCACAGACCCCCAATCTCCGTCACTTCTGACGTAACTCGAAGTGACTACGAAAGGGAACGTCTCGGTTACGTATGTAACCCTCGTTCCCTGAGTAGGGAACGGAGACGTTACGTCTCCCTGCCACTTCTGCTGTATCGCTGGGTAGAGGCCGAGTTCAGTCTTGGCTCCTCAGCGAAGACATACTGCGGTTGCGTTCACTTCCTCCTTTTATACTCACGGAGTAGGGCGGAGTACGCTATGCAAATTTCCGCAGCCCCAAGGCATTGCATGCCATTGGCTCGTGTTTTAATACTCGAAGAGGATTGGCTTTCTATGCGAAATCCCCCAATCTCCGTCACTTCTGACGTAACGTCTCCGTTCCCTACTCAGGGAACGAGGGTTACATACGTAACCGAGACGTTACTTATAGTTAGTAGAATGTCTAAAGTGGACTATCGAAATAAAGTGTTACCATTTTGAGGTGCCATTGTTACAGTCTAATTATATATTTAAGTACAGAGAATATTAAGCGACTACATGTACTTACTATAGGGTTAGGGTTGGATTAGGATTTGTTTGAGGGTTAGTCGCATGTAATTATGCATCATTTACTGCTATTATTATGGTATTAATATGTCACAAGGACACTGTAAAATAAAATGTGACATGGCTGTTTTGATGCCCTAACTGACTATGATATTTTAAATTCCTAGTTTAGGTTCCACATAAACCACATCATTTAATTTATCAAAGATCATTGTAGCACAAACAACATGTGATGCATTACATGCTGATGTTAAATATTTAGGGTTCGGAGTTTGTTCAAATTCTTAATGAGGCAGCATAATAGTGAGGTATATGACAGCAATCACCACTAATAAGATATACTGGACTGAACAAACATATAAATTGTATTCTGCACCTCTAAATGATTAAGGTAACTTCACTGTAACTTTAGAAGTGTACTTTAAAGATAACCTCAGTCTTTTCTATTAATTTAGAAGAAATGTAAAGGTTTTTTTTGTCAGGTTTATTAATATTTAATATGAGTTAATCAATCATATATATATAATTTATTGCATCTTTGCTGAATAAAAGTAGTAATTTCTCAAAAACTACAAAAAAATATATTTAAAAAAAATAAAAAAAAATCATACTGACCCCAAACCTTTGAACGGTAATGTAAAATTGTTTAAAAGGTTCAGGTAAAAATAAAAATGAATGTTGTTGGTCCACCGTATTTTGTGAGGAGACCAGTAGGGGACAGCAGTAGTTCACTTACATTGGCATGAGCAGAGGACATGAGAATAGCAAAGTGTGTCAGGTGATTACAGGAACACGAAGTATGAGTTGAATTCACACGTGTGCGTGTACAGCCATCCAAACTCCACTGTCCCATCATGCTCTGGGAATACTCCCAGAATGCACACTTAGTCTCATCATGGGTGGGATCTATCTCCTTTATGAAAGAAGCAAAGCTTGTTCAATGCATATTAAAATGACATTCAAAGCAACAACTATTTCAAGTTAATTAATCAATCAGTCACACTGCACCTGTGTGTGTTTGAGAGTGAAGGTCACGTTGTCCAGTGCAAATGTCTTTGGATTGCTGATGGCTGCTGCTATTACTGGCGAATTAACTGTAATTTCACCCGCTGCTGCATAGCGAGAGTAATCGGCCACACCAGGGTCATCAGTTGGCTTTAAAAGATCACCAATACTGTTATAGATTAGAAATACAATGGAGGTGCTTCCTACAGCAGAGACAGATGGAAGACATTTTGAATCATTTGGTGCATTTGTATTCAATTTACTATGAAGGTAAGAATTAACATTATTACAAACCATTATTGCTTTTGTTTTTTGCATTCTTAGGGATCAGTGAAATGGAGTTTCCTTGGATGTTGGTTGAAACTGGATGCTTATGTGCTTGGTTGGGTTCAAATGTGTATAGTTTCATTTCTAGAAATCATTCAACACAACGATTAGAACCTTCATCAAAAGGTAAACATTTATATGGAACTATCACAAGAAATAACAATAAAACTATAAAACATTTTACAATAATGTACTTTGATTTTATTGTATTTTCTAAAGATTTTTATACTCTTTATTTCCATTATTTCCCAAATAGTTACTTTTCAAACTATTTAAGTTAACTAAGAAGGATGTTTTTAAATTTTCAGTTCATTTTTAATAGTGTATCTTTTAATTGTTCTGTCATTCAAGTTTAAGATTTACAGTAAGAATAATGCACTGTAAGAAATAAATAAATAAAAAATGTATGGAAATGTATGGTAACTAACTAACTAACTAACCAACTAACGCAGACAAACACAAAACTGTTGGGACCTTTATTTTTAAGTGTGTTAAATACAACACAATAAAAGCATATTTAAAGAGAGTGTTTGGTTATATTGTAGCCCACAAAAAACTCACCTACTTCACCGGCATCCACCTGCATCTGCATAGTGTGTGTGTATCCAGCAGACAGGGCCAGTGTTTCCATCTCTGCTGTGTGAAGCAGTGTGGTGATGTAATACTTCCTCAAATCATCATTTATCCTTTCCCATTCCACCTTCTCATCCTTCTCGACTAAGTTATTCACACTAAAAACCAAATTCTATGGGAAAAATAAAGAAAACAAAGAACGTCTCAGGTTACGACTGTAACAGGCAGAAAAAGCAAATGACAGGGCGTGCAAGTCTCCTATTCTCTTAAGGGAAGCAATGATCAACATAAAAGCCATCTTTAATGTTGGTAACTTCTCTGAAATTGAGTCCAGAGGCTTGACGGTTGCCAGAGACAAACCTTCCAGAACCACTACCAAATCAGGCTGGAAGTCTTACATGGCAAAGTCCGACTAATATTATCTGCACTATAAAGTGAAGACAAGTGAAGGAGGAGACTGGGAGCTGCTACTTTTGGTAACACTTTATTTGAAGGGGTGTGTATAAGACTGAGATGACACTGTCATAAACATGACATAACACCTATCATGAACATGAAGGAGTCTTTATGAATGTTTATGACTGTTGTCATTAAGTGTCATTCGGTAAATTATGACAATTTTAATCCAAAATTGACATTGTTTAAAATGTCTTTGTTATGACAACTTGACATTAACAAAGACAAAAATGTCTTTGTTATGACAACTTGACATTAACAAAGACAAAAAAATGTCTTTGTTATGACGACTTGACATTAACCAAGACAAAAATGTCTTTGTTATGACAACTTGACATTAACCAAGAAATCATTACCTGTCAACCTGTCACAAATATGTCATAACAGGTCTAATTATTAAACTTAAATAAGTTATTTAGCTTTGTGTTAACATTACATTACCCTGTCATATGTTATGGTTGGTTTTAACTTTGGTTGTCATGACACCATTATAACTGCGTCATGAATATTTTACTTGTCCTCAAGTAAAGTGGAACATATCGTCCTAGTTAAAAAGATGCCATTAAGGGTTATTACACTGTCAAATGCTTTAACAACAGTGTCATTAATATTTCCCCTTAACTCAAGTAAAGTGGGGCACGTTGGACTAGTTATGATTTCTTGGTTAATGTCAAGTTGTCATAATCAAGACATTTTTGTCTTGGTTAATGTCAAGTTGTCATAACAAAGACATTTTAAACAATGTCAACTTTGCATTAAAAGTGTCATAATTTACCGAATGTCACTTAATGACAACAGTCATAAACATTCATGAAGACTCCTTCATGTTCATGACAGGTGTTATGTCATGTTTATGACAGTGTCATGTCAGTCTTATGCACACCCCTTCAAATAAAGTGTTACCCTACTTACTTGTCAGTGCTGGATTATTATGATATTGCCGTATCTAGGCACCCAAGCATTGTTTAAAGCTACTGGATTCAGTTCTTGGAGCTTTTATTACCAATTCAAAAGCCCTTACCCATCATTATTTACTGTACTCTTGGGTTGGATGGCCCGTTCTGTCAATCTATAGACTCAAGCATTGGTACATCTTTATATTAAACTTTCCTGGGTCTGCTTCCCTCTTGTTTACAGCATTCAAAATGCTATACCTTGCTATTCTTGTTATTCCATTCAAAAAGGTGTAAAACTGTATGTCTTTGTTCACAAGAATATTATTTTTTGAACATCCTAATAGTCCATATCAAATGTGGGTAAAAGGGTGTTTAGTTATGCTGCTCGGTCTGAATGGAATCAGTTACAAGATACAAAATGCTTTAAAGAGTTGGCCTCTCCAAATTAATTTAAGAGTATTTTAAATAATTTGGTTACAGATTTATCTAATTCTTATTGTTTTAACTGATATTGTTTTTTAAAAAATCCATATGTAATTAATGTATTTGTTTTTATGTTTAATATTGTTTCATGTGTAACTACTGTAAGTGAGCTGCCTGTCTTGGCCTGCAGGACCCTCTTGTAAACGATTTTAAATCTCAAGAGTGTTTTCCTGGTTGAATAAAGGTTATAGGAACCCTCAATTTAAGGTGTAAAGTTTCCAGGTGGATGGTCTCAGCAACCTCAGCTGAGAGACCATAGTTTAAGGTTTGACTCCCCTCAGGGGCCAAACTCACCTTGCATTTTTTTCCTGACAACAGCAGAAACAACTTAAAATACTTTTAAAATACATCATAATAAACTCTAAGGGTCTACTTAAATTCACAACTGCAAGAAAATGTTGTGCTTTTTGTTAAATATAGAAAACAAAGAGGAAGTGCTTTGTGTCATCTTGGCCTCCGTGAATTGGAGCACATCTAAAAAAAAATGAATCGAAACTAATCTTGTAGACTACTTGTATGTAAAGCTTGAAATGTCTAACCAAATTTAACCAGTTCAAAGCAAGAACTACTCTCTGCTTATGTAACCATGAAAGTTACATTTCTCTCTATAGGGCTCATTTATAGTTTCTTGTAGGTTTTTGGGGGTTAAATTTTAAACTTGGGTGTAAACCATTCAGGCTTATTAAAACTGACTGGTGTGTTTCTGTCTTAAATGATGTTCTGTATGTGGAATAGTATATAAATTACCGTGATCGTTTCATTGATTTCTTCCTCAGGATATTCAGGCTCATCTCCATTGCCTGGTTTATGGCTGGCCATGGCCTCGATGTATGATATGAGGAGAACAGGAGAGAGTTCAGCTGATGTTTGATGTCTTATCTCTTTCAGACGCTCTGGAGTTGACAGATTAATCATCTACAACCCCGAGAGAGGTAAACAGATTTAATATTCACTCAAATATACAATATCATTAACGATCATTATTTAAAAGATCATAAATTACAGGGAATTTTCAGACAACACACGTGTTCAAACATGCTTATATCAGAGGCCTTAATCAGCAAACATTTCTGCACATGTATAAACTTCCACAGACACATGTGTTTATAGCATGATTAGTCTTTTGTATTTTATAAAGTTAAAAAACTTCTAACAAGGCTAATACCAACCAGACATTAAGCAAATGTAATCAGTTTAAAGGGTGTTTAAATGAGATTCTAATTTTCTTGGGACAGATCTGCAACTTTGCCAGAAGGGGACGCCATTTTCTCACACTTACAGTACATTGTGATTATAGACTGAATGCTGCAAGGACCTAACAGCAGATGTGTTTTATCATTAAATTTTTGTCATACAGCATTCAGGATGAACAGAGTAATTTAGGAAATGTCCTCAATATTTCAAGAATGGTGTGAGAGGCCACACAGGAACATTAAGATATTATTAAATGTATTTTGTTTTAGTAAAAAGGGCAAACAAATCTTTACATCATGCTTCATATTTCACATTCAGGAAATGTATGAAAATATTAAAACTAACAAGAAAATACTATGATATAAATTGTTTCAGTTATTAACGTAGCCTTGGTTGCCTGTTTTAACGGGAACGAGCATTGCATCAGTATTTAAAGTCCCTGTAAAGGCAATTCTAAAACCAAATTCTAAACATTATAAATATTAGAAATGTATTGCTAAAACACATTACAAAGACTGTGACCTGTGAAGTACTGAACTGTGGAGTTAGACCATTAAACAGTTTTGCATCATTGCTGTGTTCAGGATATTTTGGGGAGGGGTCAGCCTCAGTGGCTCGAATGCATCTTTTCGACAGAGTCTTGCGATGACAGGATGCTCCCAACACTGGGATTTGGAAAAGGAACCAAGATTTCTTCCACATGACCAAGGAACAAAGGCATCTACACGTAACCTTGATCATGCGAAACAGGTTGCCCTTCTGGGAAAAAAAAAAAAACCCTTGTCCTGAGCCACTACTACAAGGGTATCATGTACACAGCAGGCCAAAATGTATTATGTTGGATGCAGGTGCCATAAGTCCTAATATACTAAAACTTTTTCACAGTGATGAGCTGGCTTAGCTTGGCTGTGGTTACTGCTGCCAGAATTGAAACTATGTGTGCAGGAGACAATCGTGCATGCATTGTGACCGAGTCCCATACAATTCCTGGAATAGTAATCCTCTGAAATGGAGAAAGCATATTCTTCTTGGAGATGAGTCTTAACCCCAAGCACTTTATGTGGTCAAGCACAACATCTCAAAGCCGAGCCACCATCTCCTGTGACTGGGCTGATATTAACAAGTAATCCATGTAATTAAGAATAATGATGCCTGTGAGTCTCAGAGGAGGCAGAGTTGCATACATTTTGTGAAAGTGTAAGGTGATAACAGTAGGCCGAATTGAAGAACCCGATATTGGTGACCTCCGTCCCCAAAAGCTTTATAAATTTTTATGAATCCGATATCAAGTAGGGGGCCACACAATATCATCGGCCCGCGGGCCGCGAGTTTGAGACCTCTGATCTAGATGATCTTTTGGATAGATCATGACATACCAGCCCTCTGATTTGATTTGAGTCACGATAAGAGGAATCGTCAGCATCTTGAATGGGAATCTCCTCAGAGAATGGTTCAAGTGATGTAAATTGATAATGGGAAGCAACCCACCATGAAATACCGGCTGTAGAACCTGGCATTTCTCTCTGAAGGAGGAATACATTATATGGCCTCCTTCGCCAAAAGAGACTGAACTTCCTGTTCCATCACTCGAGCCTGCTCGGGGCCCACTACCGTAGATGATATCTGGGTGGACAACATCCCAACTGGATTCTGTAGCCCTGCATGAGCCACACTAACATGACATTTTGCAACAAACGTTGCTTAAAATTTGCTCTTTTAAGTGGAATTTGCTCTTAATGAGTCACCGGATAGCTGCAGGGGAGAAGCGCTGAGTCAGCTGCAGTCACTAAATTGTTTCAATAGAGAGCAGAATCTTTTTGATATGATCTTCGCTCTTGAAGGAGAAAATATCTGACCCAAATGGCAATCAGCACAGCTTAAACATGCAGTCAGCCCTGTCTGTTTTTGCCAGGCTGATTTGCCAATTGCAGTTGTACGTGAACCATTTAGGCTTCAGGATTCGGAGAAAAAAATAGTTCTCCATATAAGCGTCAGTTACTGACACAATGCGGGTGAACCAAATTGAAAGGGAAGTTAGCTAATATATTAAAAAATATACAAAAAATAGCTTAGCATTACAGTGTTATACTATAATTTATAATATTTTTTAGTATTATAATGTCTTAGAGTATTACAGTTGTTAATTTTAATATTTTCATACATTTATTGAATGTGAAGCACTGTAACGGTCCCCAGCTGGAGTGCCATTGAGAGACACCAGAGGGCACTCCACACCAGACGATCATGTTTCACTCACAAACTACATTTCCCATAACTTACCGCCCAGACTCATCAGCACTCATCTCATTCCCCTGTTTCTCATTATGTTGTTTAGTTCACACCATAAATACCTGGTGTTCACATTCACTTATTGTGAAGTCTACTGTGTGTCTGCGTTTCTGAGCGGTTTGCCGTATTTGTTTTTCTGTTTTCGACTTTGGATTGTTCTTGGACTCTGATTATTGCTGCCTGCCCTGACCTCTGCCTGTTCCTATATGATTAATCTTGAATAAAGCTGCATTTGGATTTTCATCTTCATGTCTTGGAACAGTTCGTAACAAGCACAATGTAAACATGTATTTGACCTTTTTACTAACAACAAAATAAAATGAATCTCTGAATGGTCCTGTCTCAACCCATTCCTGAAATATTGATGACATTTCCTAAAATATCTGTCCATCCTTATTGCTATATGATAAAAAAAAATGTCATGACAAAACCTCCAGAACAGCTGTTTCCTGAGCAAGAGCTGTGCCAGCAAGGTGAGAGGATAAACATCTGAGAGAGATGTGACTGAATTCCAGTCACAAGATTTCCAGTTATCACTGAGAGTACAAGCACTGACTTATTACACACATACAACTTTAAAAATGAAGTTAGAAAGAATAGCCATCACATTCTACATGTTGTTATATTAAAAACTTGAAACCCATGTACATAATGAATCAAATGTTTTCTTAATGTTCCCATTTTATCTTCTATACATTTTTTTGTAACCAGTTACTGTACATTACCTTGAAAATATTTGGACACTGATGTCACATTTAAAATCCACAAAAATACATTGCCAGTTGGTGAAAATAATAGAAGTAAAATTTCGAAATATCTTGTTTTTGTTGTATTTTGGATCAAATAAATGCTGCCTTAGTGTGTAGAAGGGACTTTCAGTTAGCTTTCAATTATAATGATGGAATCACTGTAATGTTGATTTGGTTGATGGTTTAAAAATGTTTAAAAGATTCTTACTGATCTTGAACTTTTGATTGGTAGCGTATATATACAATATGTGCACTAAAACAAATAATTATTTTAAATGTTAATATTTAGTAGAAAGAGACACTTAATACAAAATGGGAACCATTTTTTTTATTTAATTTGCTAAATAATTGCAAAAAAAGTAGCTACAATGTATTGTTTCCCCAATGAATTGCGATTTAATAATAATAATAATAATAAGGTTTATAATATGGCATTGTTTTTTGAAACCAATACTTAAAGGGTTAGTTCACCCAAAAATGAAAATTAAGTCATTAATTACTCACCCCCATGCTGTACCAACCCCGTAAGACCTTCGTTCGTCTTCGGAACACAAATAAAGATATTTTTGATTAAATTTGAGAGCTGTATAACTACCACATTGGCTCCTAAGGGACTGCCTCTTGACGGCCCAGAAAGTCAATGAAGAAAATGTTTAAATATCCCAAGTGACTACCGTGGCTCAACTATATGTTTATCAAGCGACGCGAATACTTTTTGTGCGAAAAAACAAACAAAAATAACGAGTTTATTCGACTATTTCTTTTCTTCCTTGTAGGCCAGAACGAGACTTCCTTAGATTTCCACAACGCATGCGCGAGAATTGCGATCTGAAGTGGTGTAAGCTGATGTGAGCAGATCGCAAATCTCGCGCATGCGTCGTGGAAATCTAAGGAAGTCTCGTTCTGGCCTACAAGGAAGAATAGAAATAGTCGAATAAACTCGTTATTTTTGTTTGTTTTTTCGCACAAAAAGTATTCGCGTCGCTTGATAAACATATAGTTGAGCCACGGTAGTCACTTGGGATATTTAAACATTTTCTTCATTGACTTTCTGGGCCGTCAAGAGGCAGTCCTTTAGGAGCCTATGTGGTAGTTATACAGCTCTCAAATTTAATCAAAAATATCTTCATTTGTGTTCCGAAGACGAACGAAGGTCTTACGGGGTTGGTACAGCATGGGGGTGAGTAATTAATGACTTAATTTTCATTTTTGGGTGAACTAACCCTTTAATAATGTAAATAATGTCACTCACTTTTTGCAGTGTGTTGCTTATAGCCACTTTAAAACATTTGTAGTCTTGATGGCAGTGCTGCTCTGGGTTTTCTGACACAAAAACAGAAACACAAAATGAGGGTGAAAGAAGATCAAGAAGATGAAAAAATGCATATTTTTCAAAGGTTTACCTTTTAAATTTCATTCAGTGTTAAATATTTTTAAATATTTCAAAATGCATGTGGCATTTGTGGGAGAAAATAAAATGATTATCCACTTTATACTGAGAGTTGAGTGACTTTTCTCACCTGTGCAATCCGTGCCGGTTTTAGGCTTGAACCAGGGCCCGGCTGGGGACGTATAACCTCTCAGACATGAGCAGATGAATGAGCCGTTTATGTTGTGGCATTTAGAGGAGGGTCCACATCTATCAGCATCAACCTCACACTCATCAATATCTACAATTGTACAGATATGTTCACAATTTTGTAAAATAATTGTATGCTATACTGCCCTACAAAGCAAAAAGGCAGTAACTGCAGTTTTGGTAAAGCATGAATTATTACAATTTTCATTACATTCAAGGCATCCTTTGTTATGTGACAAAACATCTTATCTTAAATGCGTGTCGTTTTAGAGAAAAATGGTTGTCGTTTGTACAGTAACTGCAAAAAGCCCTAGTAAAAGTCATTTTTCTCAGTTCTGCACTCTGCGTAGTTACTGCCTTTTTGCTTTGTAGGGCAGTATAATTGTCATCTTAGCATCTTGATTGTCATATAAAAAGAAGAGCCTTGCTCATATTCATTATAAAGTCAATTGTGTACTCTTCTTGTCATTCATGCATTTTTACGTAGTGTCCAAATATCTTTTGGAGCCATTCCTACCTGTGCATTTGGTCCCATCATTAGTTTGAAATTCCTGCTTTCCATTTGATTTAAATCCAGACAAGCAGGTACAGTAGTAATTTCCAATAGTGTTGGTGCAGTTGGCATGTGGGCCACATATTCCAGGTACTTTCTCACACTCATTGTCATCTGAAAGGGGTCAGATAAACAGATTCATTAAACCAAGATGCTGCAGTTATATGCATCTGATAAACCAAGTGTTTTATCCGAGTGTTTCAGCAAGACGAGAATATTCAAAAGACTAAGAGAGTAAATGAAAGAATTAAAAATTCCAATATATTAGGAATGATGATAGAACATTTTAAAGGGGTGTTGACTGCGATTTCACTTTTTTCATTTTAAATAGTGTGTAATGTTGCTGTTGGTGCATGAACAGTATCTGCAAAGTTGCAGCGCTGAAAGTTCAGTGTAAGCAGAGATATCGTCTTTTAAAAATCAGGAAGTATAATTGCCTACACAAACGACTCGGTTGGGACTAAAGCTGGGTTTTAGACGTCACTAACCCACACATTTGCATCAACCCCTCCCTCCGGAAAATGCAAAAAAGGGCATGCATATTACAGCAGCTCCAGCTCGTCGAGTGTGTTGTTCACGCAGCTGTCAGGTCTTCTGTGTTCGAGGTGCCCATGGATGCTGTACTTCGTCAACAATGGATACAATTTATGTTTGATTATGTTTCTGAAAATGACGATCGTAATCTAGCTCTCTGCGCTGCGCATTTTACAGAACACAGCTTTCAGAATCTCCACGAGTTCAATGCCGGATTCAACAAGAAACTGTTACTAAAACTGTTACGACTTTAAAACCAGAGGCAGCAGTTGTTGGGCCACAACCTGTAAGTAGGCTGAGACTTCATCATTTTAAATGTATTTGCATGTATAATCCTTGTGTTTTAATTTTTTCAAATGCCAGCGCTGGCTTTATGGCAATTAAAAACAGGCTACTAGTTATGCTATTTTGTGTCTACGAAAAACGCTTACAAACATGAATTTTGTATAAGTACTAATGTTGTAAATGTATTTTTCATGTTTTATGACGTTATTTTCGATTGGATGAAGAACGCAAACTTGCCAATGCTGTTTGAGTATAACATTAGTAGCCAGTCAGTTGCTATTGTTGTCAGTCAGATGCTATTGTGTAAATCAAACGTGTATAAAGTTAAAAAATAATAAATAATAATAATAATAATACATCACACTTGTATAGCGCTTTTTTTGGACACTCAGAGACGCTTCACATGGGACAAAGACAAAATAAAGAAAATAAAAATAAATTAATAAAGGTGTTCTAAGGAAATGCTAGTTTGAACAGGTGGGTTTTGAGTGCTGCTTTGAAATTTGATAGTGAAACAGAGTTTCTAATGCATGTAGGGAGTGAGTTCCAAAGGGTGGGGGCAGCAATGGCAAAAGATCGATCCCCCAATGTCCGGCGATTTGTGCGGGTGATCTGAGTAAGGCGGTTTGTGCCATATGAGCGCAGGTGACGGGTGGGTTGGTGCTGTACCAGGAGTTCAGTGAGGTAGGACGGGGCCAAGTTATGGAGGGACTTGTAGGTGAGGAGGAGGAGCTTATATTGAATACGATAGCGTACAGGAAGCCAGTGGAGCTGCTGAAGAACGGGGGTGATGTGTTCCCAGGACTTGGTGTGGGTGAGCAAGCGGGCGGCTGAGTTCTGGATGTATTGTAGCTTTTGTAATTGATTAGTAGGTAGTCCATAGAGAAGGCTATTGCAGTAGTCGAGTCTTGAAGTTATGAAGGCATGGATGAGGATTTCAGCTGTTGACAGGGTTAGGGAGGGGCGAAGACGGGCGATGTTGCGGAGGTGGAAAAAGGATAGTTTAGTGACATGATTGATGTGTGTTCGGTAAGGGTGGAGTCCAGTATGATACGTGATAGATTGGAGATGGGTCTGAAGTTGTCCAGATTGTCAGGGTCCAGGCCCGGTTTTTTCAGGAGGGGTGTGATGGACGCAAGTTTTAGTGGGGATGGAACAGATCCAGACATGAAGGAAGTGTTAATGATGTTGGTGATAAGAGGGATGAGGATTGGTTGACAGGCTTTAAAGAGCTGTGAGGGGATCGGGTCAAGCTGGTAGTTGGAGAATTTCATAGTTGAAAGGAGTTTGGAGGTGTCAGAGGGAGACAGAGGAGAGAAAGAGGAAAAACTGTCAAGTGTGAGGGGAGTAAGTTGATGTTCAGAGAGCGGAGAAACGGAGGACGTTGATGTTAATGAACAATGTATGGTGTGGATTTTGGTATGGTAGGATGACAGGAAGTTGTTACATTTGTCTGTAGTGAAAGTGGAGGTTATACTATCCTTAGGTTTGGTCAGTTTTGCAAATGTGGAGAATAGGGTGCGAGCGTTGGAAGAATTTGAATGGATGAGTTGTGAGTAGTAATTAATTTTTGAGAGCAGAATTGTATGTGGTTATGGCGTGCTTATAGGCTTGGGCATGAACAGTGAGACCGGATTTTTTATGGATCCTTTCAAGTTGTCTTTTTTGTCTTTTGAGAATGTGAAGATCCGGGCTGTACCAGGGTGCAGAGTTGGAGAAGGAGACTGAGGCAGTTTTGAGCGGGGCTATTTGGTTGAGGCAGGTGGAGAGTGAGTGGTTGTAAAAGTTGACTAGATCGGAGGCAGTTGGAGCAGAGGGAAGCGAAGAAGTTGAGATGGCATGGGATATGGAGGAGGTAAGGGCGAAGGGACTAATGGATTTCAGGTTTCGAAATGTAATTGTTCTGGTGTGTTTGGCAGTAGGACAGGGGGTGATGATATCCAAAGTGATAGCCAGATGATCAGAGATTGTAAGGTCGGTCAGTGAAAGGTTATGTATAGTGAGAGAGGGTGTGGAACAGACCAGGTCAAGGATATGTCCGTGTTTATGTGTAGGCGAAGTGACATGCTGAGTGAGGTTGAGGCAGTTTAAAATGTCCAAAAAGTCAGATGTGAATTTTGCTTCCGGAGAGTCGATATGAATGTTAAAGTCACCAATGAGGAGGACGGACGGTGAAATAGAGGACAGCTGAGTTACAAAATCAGTGAAATCGGAAAGAAATGATGAGCAAGTTTTGGGAGGGCGGTAGATGACTGCAGCAATGAGTGATTGGGAACCAGGAAGTCTGAAAGCCAAATGTTCGAATGAGGATACAACCGGGATGGGGCGGATCGAAATAATGCTGCGGTAAATGACTGCAATGCCACCACCTCGCCGGTCCAGATGGGGATTATCAATGAAAGAGTATCCAGGTGGAGTGGTCTGATTTAATGCAATATAGTCCATGGGTTTGTGCCAGGTTTCAGTAAGACAGAGAAAATCCAATTTATTGTCAGTGATGAATTCACAGAGGAGCAGGCTTTTATTGTTGAGTGATCTTGTATTGTATAGCGCTGTCTTGAGAGGCTTTTGTTTTGAAATCCAAGTGGCGGAAGTTGAGACGGGAAGGAGGTTAGATGAAGTCACGTGATGAGTGCACGGATGACGTATGCGGATGTTGTTGTTGCGCCGGTTTCCAGGCGGGAGTGAACTACGGCTGGACCAGAGAGAATGAATACTGTTTTCGGCGTTGAAGTAGTAGGAAAGATTGCGACGGGAGCCTCGGTGGATATAAGGGCGACGACGGAGAAGACAATGTTGTTGCAAAGTAGAGATGATGTCCAATGAAGGAGGTGCGTAGTAGTTGAATCCGAGGAGCTGTGAGGACGTGAATCTAAGCGCCATGGTCAGAGCCGTAGATGATGAAATCCACAGAGAGGCCAGCAAAAAGGTCGACAGTAGCCACATAGCTGACAGGCTGCTCTGGAGTGCGAGCCGGCCAGTAGTCAGGCTATGTTGCTGTAATCCACTGCAGAAAACAGCGGGGATGTGCCGAAGGCGAGAGCTGGCTAGTTGGTGGTCACAGCAGAATCACAACGTGACAAGCAGCAGATACGGCGACCAGGCAGAGATACAATCCAGATTTTGAGGCAGGAACAAATACCATCGGTACCAACAAGGTCAGTAGGTAGAACCGTTATGTTGCAGACAAACGTTTCGTCCAGAGTGAGAAGCGGCATCCAAAACGCGCCAGCGTCCTCTCACATCCGGTGATGTAAATGTAGCAAAAAATGTAGCAAATTATCATTCAGAAACATTTAGTGAGTTTCTGCTTGACTCTCTTCATCGGTGCTTTCTCGGTCTGATTCTGCCTCAAACTGATACTGCAGTTCAACACATATTTACATCTGGACCGGAGTTCGTGACATGCACGTTTCGCCCGTAAAGGTAATGGGTGTTAACCTTCCGGACAACGTGAGCGACAGTTTAGCCAATCACAACACACCGGACCAAACTAACCAATCTGAGCCCACTGCCCCTTTCTGAGGAAGTGGTTTCATAGACTCAGGAAGTCAACCGCTCGTTCGAGGACAGAGGAGAGCGTGGCTGACAATAAAGGTGAAGTTTATGAAAAATAAGACTTTTAAAAAAAGAAAACCCACAAATAGATGAAGAGTTCAGATGCAAAAGCCTCTAAGTGCCATTTGAAATTTTCTTCTAAAATGATCATTTTTATCAAGCTTGTATATTTAAGTTAAGTAATTTCACTTAAATGGCAATGAAGATTACCTATTAATTGTCATTTAAGTGAAATTACTGAACTTAAATATACGAGTTTGATAAAAATGGTCATTTTAGAAGAAAATTTCAAATGGCATTTAGAGGCTTTTGCATCTGAACTCTTCAGATGTTATATTGCACTCCATAAACACAATCATGCAAAGAAAAAAAGCAGTCAAACCCCCCTTTAAATGTTGACTTCGCAAAGCCTTTTCTGAAAGTGTCTTATGTAGTTTGAATAATTGGGAATTTGAAGTTTGAAAGGCAGCTGCTGGATTTTGTCTTGGGAGAGAGGTTAGCAATTTTTCAGTCACATTTGCAGACCACTATTAGTTATTATAACCTTGTTTTTCTCAGCCAAAAAAATAGTCAAAATGGTCAACGTGTCTTAACAATACACAGTAGTGCTGTTTCGTACCTGTAATGATTAAGTCCACTGAAAGAAAGTTGAGGTGAGAACGTCTCAGTTACATATGTAACCCTCGTTCCCTGAGTACAGGGAACGGAGACGTGTCGTCGGGGAGTTCCCTGACGAA